AGTGAGAAGAGGGGTGCGCCCTGAAAAGGTCGCCAAACTATCACATGACAACAGTCATGCATATACATACTTAGACCTAAGAGAAATTTAGAGTGCAAGTTAACTTAGCACAGATGTTCTAAGACTGTAAGAGGAAGACAGAGCTTCCAGACAGAACTCAAGCATGCACCAAAAGAACGCCCAAACTCCATGGAGAACGGCCCCTGTCACTGATTCTTGCTGCCAGGCAGCATTGCTATCAACTGCTCCGCTATGGGGCCCATTTTCAGCCTGTCCTCTCCTGTGAGAAGGTAGGTTCTCTTGTGGTCCTCAGGGTATTGGGAGTCCCAAGGCAGCCTCCTATATTTGTTGCACATTGGGCTTTGGATTCACAGTAAAGAGAATTGGTAAAATAGTCGGACAGCATGAGATACATTTCCACTGTTATGCTGATGATACTCAACTATTTTCCAATAATACTCCAATAATCCTGATGAATCCACTCTGCTCGGTAGATTACAGGCGTGTCTTGAGGACACACAAACCTGGATGACACCAAACTTTCTGCTTTTCAATCCTGACAAAACAGAAATTCTCATCTTTGCCCCAAAACGTCTAAAAAGTAACAGCTTAGTCAGTTACTTAATCTGGATGGCATTAAATTGGCCTCTGGTAAAAAGGTACCTCTGTGTTATTTTTGACCAGCATATGTCATTTAAATCCCTTATTGAAAGGATTTCCTTTCTTTCTGGAATATTGCCAGAATTAGAAATATCCTGTCCAGAAGTCCAGGACTGGAAAGGAGTCCTAAAGTCTGGAAAAAACATTTCTCCCTGCCTCTGCCTCTCTCATACCTCATCGTATGAATGAAGGAATTGAAATTACTTTTTGTAAATTACCTTAAAATGGCATGTGTTGTAAATTGGCACAATATAGATAAACTGAATTGAACTTGATTTGATCCCCTTGTCTGGATGGATGTGTAAGTGAAACCTGGTTCATACTGCAGAACATTTGTCTGCACTGAGCCTGATCAGTGCCTCTGCATGTTTATGATAGCATTGTGTATATGTATATATAAATATATAAATGTGTGTGTGTGTGTGTGTGTGTGTGTTTGCATGTATGTGTGGAGCTGGTTGAAGGAGAGCAGTAGTGATGGAGCCTGAAAGCCCTGCAGCGCAGCTGTTCTCCCAGTACATCGTCAACTTCGCCGCTGAGCCCAGAACGCATGCTTCAACCGCGCTCACACAATCTTCCTTTCCTTTCTCTTTTCCCTCTTCATCCACTTCCTCTGCTCCTCTTGAAGCTCTTCATCTGAATCTCCATAATAGCTCATTTTAATCTCCTTGGCTCTCATTTCCTCACTTCATCAATAGCTCCACTTTTAGGCTGTGAATGCGTCTCCTTCTCCAACGTGTTTTACCATTTGTCCTCCGAACCCGGGCCTTACTCCTGCCACGAAAACGATCTCCCAGTGCATGTGTGAACATCTGTCTGGGGCTTTTCTGACAATTCGATGGCAGATCCTAAAAAGTTTTGTTCTTATTTCCACTGTGAGTGAGTAAGATCTGTGGGTGATAGACAGCTCTCAGGAGGAAGGGCAAGAACTGTGTCATTATGGTGGCTGTGGAGCGGTTTAAGGAAATCGACTGATAAGAGCAAAGGGGAAGAGGCTCAACCTCAAGGAAGTGACTGACATTAAAGAAATGTGTTCTATCTATCTATCTATCTATCTATCTATCTATCTATCTATCTATCTATCTATCTATCTGCTTATTAAGGTATTATTTTAATAGTGATGCTTCTGCTCCTCTTTTTCAGCCAAACAGATTTAAAAATAGAAACATTCATGCTTTCTGAATGTACTTTCCCTCCAGGAAGTGTGCAGCTGTGCAAGTCAGACATTGGCCAAGCTCCATCACGTGTCATCGTCTTCCCAGGCTTCCATTGGCTGGCACCTGTGGGGCTCTGTGAAGGAAAGCTTTTCTGGCAGGACCCAGGAGCCCAGAGGAGTTGCTGCAAACTGAGAGAAGGACAATGTCGGTGGAACCAGGATGGAAGCAGAGGGGGCCCTCAAAGGAGGTCATCGCCGTCCGACAGTAAACGCAAAGATGCTGGGCTATGACCTTCCAGGGCAGAGATGATAATGTGGCAGAGGGGGATCCGGACAAATTATTTGGAGCAGGGATGGTCATAAAGCTTGTGCCACAATTGCACATATTTCTCTCCCACTTTGTTTTTGCAGTATTGCTATCACAGTTAGTTTTTCTTTTAATACTTAAAGTTCTTAGTTAAAATAAATGCGAGGAACTTTTAGTCTTTTTTTCATCAGTTCTAGTACTGGTTATCAGATCCACCAATGCTTTTTCATGTCAGGCAACATCCAGTCAGTATTTACTGGGAGACAGCGCCCTCTGGTGGTTAATTCTTGGTAAACACTTGGCTTATGAGGATCATCAATGACTTTCTATTCAAGAAATAGAGTGTCTGTCTGCATTAAGCAGAAATGCATCTCAAAATGTTCAGTTCCTCCCAAATTTCAAACACAACACATAATTACAGTTAGAAGCTTGTATACACACAAAACAGGCGTAAATCTCATACCAATTTGGAATTTTAATCAAACAAAACAATTTGTTGCACTTTGTAATTTATTGTGGACTTTTTCACATAAACACATGAAGGTTATGAAAGACTACTACTTAAACATATCCTCTCTGAACATCTAATGTCTTCCATGTATTTCTGGCTGGTTATTTGACCACTCCTATAGACAGAATGCTTAAGTTGATTTAAATTTATTGGCTTCATGCCACAGAAAAGGATCTTGAGCAAGCATCATATCTGTATTTTAATCGAGTTGAGGAAAGAGTTTCTGGGAAGCCACACAAGAAACTTGATGTAATATTTCCAAAACCAGTTTTGATGCATCTTTAGAATCATTGTCAAGTTACAACAATCAATTGTGTCCAAATATTAACAATTTCACTCAAGCTGTCAGTTCAGATGAAAGACAACAGGTGATGATTTTTATGAGCAACCCAGGAATCACTGAGGCTTTAAGCTATATGATCAAGACTATTCTGGAGCACCAGTATTACTGTCCACAGTGAGGTGAGTTTACCATCAAAAATGAGTTTCTTGCTGCCTACATCAGCCAGATGCCTTCAGGAGAAATGTGCTGTGATCTAATGAGACATACCAAGATGTTTGGCCACAATGACCAGAAATATGTTAAAGTGAGACTTTTTTTCAAAAACTGTATGTACTGTTAAGCAAGGAGGGAGTAATATCATCAAGTCTGTTTCACTACTGGTTAATTGATTTATTAATTGTAGCATGCTATAATTCAGGATGCCGAGTTGTAAATAGCAAAATTATACCTCGATTTTACCTGCTCCTTCCAATGTGGTTCTAAATATTATTAGTCACTATAGATTTGTATTAACTTTTTCATGTGCCACCTTTACGTATTACCCTAGACTTCACATATTAGCACTACAGACAATAAAGTCACAAACATAATAATTCATTTTAAGAATAATATTCTTCTTCCTCCTTTCAGTCACAAAACTAAGTTTTGTGACTCTTACAGCAGCCAATTACATGCAGGATTCAGGAATTATTATTTTTTTTATTTCTTTAAAATAATTCAATTCATGAACTATTCTGAAACAATATTTTTGAGTAGTACATGATAAATGATCATCATATGTCTAGTTCCTGAACCAAACTGTCAGTGTAATAAAGTCAAAGAGAGAAGGACCAAATGTGCCTAACTTATGATGCTTACAAAGCAGAAATTGTGCAAACTATAAATACCTTATATTTTATACTTTAGGTTTTTTCACGTTTCAGTTTGGCTTAGATTATACATCAGATGGCATGAAAATAGAAACAGGTCAAATGTACTGACAAAGATGATCCTGTAGGTGGCAGAGTAATCTTCCTACAGGCTCAAAGGGGATTTTCTTGAGATGAGACCAAACGCTAAAGCATCGTCGAATAACATACAAGAGTATCTCATTATTTATTGTTATTTTTGGAACACACCCTTATTGTACAATTTAAACAAATTGTACAAAGGCCAAACCTAAATCAAGACTTCAAAATGACCGTTCACTGATGCTCTCCATCTGTTCTGACTGAACTCAGGCTACTTTGCAGAAAAAAGGGCAAAACTTCCCAACTGTAAACATGCAAAAATGGTACAGCCATACTCTGAAGACTTAAAGGTTGCTCTGCAAATTATTGGGTCATCAGTACTAAATATGCTTTATTCCTGTATGAACGGCACACATTTTTTAAATTAAAAATCAGAATTTTCCCTTCTGCTTCACAACTATTGGATAATCGTGAAGTAGCTAAATGAATAGCTTTTAGTAGATTTTATGTTCTTCTACTGTATAAAATCTTGTTGAAATACCTTGAGATTTGAGTTTGCAACATGAAAAATGTCAAAAATTCTGAAAGGCAGAAATACGATTGCAATGCGCAGATTTATCCAATCAGCTGAGCTTTATCTGTGTCTCTTTTCTTTTACTTTGTAGATTTAGCATTTAAGCACATAATTCCCTGCTGCAAAGGGTCATCAATGTCTTATAGCTGATATATCTCATATATGATTAATTTATTTTGGGCATCCCTTTTTTTCTTGTTCTTGTAACTTCAAATATGTATTTAATCTGTGCATTTCTTGAGTAGCTAGTTTTTTTAAGCCTTAGCAACAAGAATGGGTGGCTTTTTGTCAGTGCAAAACAAGGTGTAATCAGCTGTCGTTTTTGATGTATTAGTTGAGACAGTAATGTCACATCTGATCAAGCGGAGATGCTTAAAACACCACACCTCTCCCATCAGCATAACCGTCACACTGCAGCCAATAGAATGAGTGGAATATATGGCATTATATTTTTGCAGCAACACCCATCCCTCAACCCTCCACCCCCACCATCACCCTGCCCCCTCCTCCGTGTCTGAATGTCCGTGAGTGTGTATGTGCATCTGTCCTTGTGCATTTTGTCTGTAAGCCCTGTAGGATAAAATCCAGCCTCTGCTCTCTGCTCTCCCTCTTTCTCTCTGTCCCTCTCACACATACAAACACAAGTGTTGCTCTGGCAAAGCTCAGACCTACACAAAAAACACACAAACTCACCATTCCTTTTCCACTTTTCTGGTGCTGTGGAACTTAACACTTTGACTTCATGGAGGATTACCACAAACCTGACCAGCAGACAGTGCAGGCGCTGAGGAACATCGCCAACCGCCTCCGAATCAACTCCATCAAGGCAACGACTGCAGCTGGAAGTGGGTGAGTTCAAGCCACAAACATCGCCTGTTCTTTAAATCTGGGAAAAAGGATATCTCGATACTTGGATTAGGACGTTTCAGCACAAATGTGCGTACCAGGGATAAACTTAAATAATGCTTTTCAATTGGGAAAAATTGAAAAGCAATTGAAATAATCGACTGAGCTATGCCCGCACAGATGCACGCACAAAGACAAAGGTTCAGAGGAACAGTGTGTTCTGGCATCGTACTCCTTTGGTCTATTGATATAAAAAATTGTTACATTCAAAATTTTATGATCTGCAATATATATATATATATATATATATATATATATTTACATTGTAAGGGCTTAATTATTATATATATATATATATATATATATATATATATAATAATTAAGCCCTTACAATGTAGATTTGATTTTTAAAATTCTGACAATGGAAACATGGAGTGGTTCTGTTCATGCATAGCTTTGAGCATTAATGCGTGAATTACATGTCACTACAGGCTGAGCATATTGTTTTGGATAGTCGGGGCACTGGGTTTATTTTTTTTGGTGAATGTTGTTTGCTTTGAAACCAACAGTCAGATTTTTTAAAGATTAGCAGGTCACTTAAATATTTTGGATTCTACAGAGCTGAGAAAACGTGTTTTGTGTATTCTTTAGGATATAATGATTACCTTTCAGATCTGACATTTACACGTTTATTTTCCCCTTAAAGAAATTTAACTGCAGTTTTTTAGAAAGTCAAGTTTGTTTTGAGATTAATGTCTGCATTTCCAACAGTTCCTCGTCTGAGCACTGTTCATTTAAAATTCTTAGAGATTCCCCGATGTTAAGTTTTTAAATTTCTGTAAAAAACATGAACACATGTATGTATTAGTAAGACCTTCCTCCAGAACTAGTGCAGTATTTGTCTAAAAGAAACAGCTTACATAGAAATGTGTAATATTTCTGTTGGTCCTGGAATTAAAAGAGTGAAGGCAAAGCACTGAGCTGGAGTCTGTGGGATTTTCTGAGTCTTATCTCCTCTGTTGTACAGCCATCCCACATCATGCTGCAGCGTAGCGGAGATCATGTCTGTCCTTTTCTTCCATACCATGAAGTACCGCCCCGAAGATCCGAGAAATTTCAACAACGACCGCTTCATCCTTTCCAAGGTGAGCTGCAGTGTTCTCAGGAATGGTCAGGAATATGCTTCATATTTGTGTCTTGGCATTCTAAGCTGCTGCTGTGTCTGTTCTCAGGGTCACGCTGCTCCTGCCTTGTACTCCATGTGGGTTGAAACTGGTTTCCTAAAGGAGAGTGATCTGCTCAGTTTGTGCCAGGTTGACTCGACCCTGGAGGGACACCCAACCCCGGTAAACGGTCACAAACTGCACTACACCTACAGGGATTACCCTTGATTAGTGCACCCAATGAATCAACAGCCCCCACCTCCTGATGACATTCATAATTCATGTGTTTTCAGAGGCAACAATTTGTCGATGTAGCCACTGGATCCCTGGGGCAGGGTCTTGGTGTGGCCTGTGGAATGGCTTACACTGGGAAATACTTTGATAAGTCCAGGTAATCCATCAAACATTTACACTGGACAACAGGGAAGAATAGAAATTTTAGGGACTATTTTAAGGTACTTCAGCACCTTATCATGTCTTGACTGACAACTTAATGGAAATACCCTAGACTTTTCTGTAAACTCAATAAAGATATCTTTCGACATAACTTGTCACCATGTCTCATTACCCAGCTACATTACCAAGATGAATGCACAGTCACAGAAAAATAGACAAGATAGTATCCTTCAATTTTGAAAGGGTATAATATACTAATCAAATAAAATGTTTATACTTAATGATTCTGTAAATAAAATTTGGGTTTTAAGGAATGTACCTTACTATGCATTTTCATGAGGATTTCCACATTCAGTGGGTGTGTGCTGCAGCTACATGTCTGCACTCACGATTCTTCTGCTCTAATAATCACAGAGCGCAGCAGTCACATCTCAATTATTTTAACCACCCAAGCACATTTAACTGTAGAGTCAAATTCTGATTATATCTGGTTCTCGCTTCTCTTCACGAGAAAACCATTATTTGAAAGGGGGCTTAAAATCAGATGTTCATCTTTTCTTGTTGGTTTATATCAGCCAGCACATCTACGCAAGCGGAAATATTTTCTCAAAAAATAACTTCTTTGTCTACTTGCACAGGTTCATTTTATTTTAGAAATGGGTTTGATAATAAAGCCACAGCTCAGATCCTGAACAGAAATCCAGTCCAAGTGGAAAATGTTGATCAGAGAAAGAAACAGAACCAAATGTATATACCACACACAAGGATGCTGACAAAAGCCCCCTCATGTCGTTATCCACCTCAGTTACCGTGTGTACTGCCTGCTGGGGGATGGTGAGATGTCGGAGGGCTCTGTCTGGGAAGCCATGTCGTTTGCCTCCTACTATCAGCTTGACAACTTGGTGGCCATCATGGATGTCAACCGCTTGGGCCAAAGTGACCCTGCACCCCTGCAGCATCATGTAGAGAAATACCAGAAGCGCTGTGAGGCTTTCGGGTATAGTGAACATTGATAATTCAGCATGAGTAGAAATAAATATGATGATAGAATTTGTTAAAGTAATCACAACACTGACATTTTCGTGTTATCCATAATATAAATAATGATGTGCAAGATTTTATTGTGAGCCCATCTGTGTGTTTGAGTTTAGCTGGCACGCCATTATTGTGGATGGTCACAGTGTTGAAGAGCTTTGCAAGGCTTTGAGCCAACCACGTCACCAACCCACTGCAATCATTGCTAAAACCATCAAAGGCAAAGGGATTCCAGGTAACAGTTTGACCTTCCTCATCTGCAAATGGACGGCTCACTTCTTTCATAAAATACAAAACCTCACACAGTCCATTATCAGCTCCAAGTGACATAGCTAAAAATGTCTGTACGTTTTATGTGTGCCGTTTCAGCTGCAGAGGATAAGCTGGGCTGGCATGCCAAAGCTTTGCCTAAAGACATGGCTGAGATGGTTATGAAGGATCTGCAGAGTCGGATTATGAACACCAGCAAGCACCTTTACCCCCCGGCTCCCATAGAGGACTCCCCTCCTGTTAGCCTGAGGAACATCCGCATGCCAAGTGCACCGAACTACAAGCCTGGAGAAAAAGTTTGTCAAATTTACACAAATGCAGAATCAATTCACCTTTTTATGTCTGTTAACAAAATTCTTGCTGTTAAATCTCAAGTTAATCACCACGTCTAACATCAATTTCCAGATTGTGTTTCTTAAGTTGTGCCTCATGCTAACACATTAAGGCATAAACATAAAGAATTAGCATTTAGGTTATAGTTTGCTAGCTATGCTAATGCATAGCAAATTAAATACATAATGTTTGTTTAAATTTGTACCACTGTTTATGTACATGTAATGTGCTAACAGGTTTGGATGTTCATACTCCTTTTTTAAAGGCCACTTAGCTAATCTAACAACATTTACTGCAGCTTTAATGTTTTTAAAAAATGACATTTGAAAACAACCTTTCTAAGCCCAAGTTCTATTTTATGCACTGCTCAGTGCAATAATTTTCATTTTAATGTTATTTTATGAAAAGACATTTACACACTCTAAAAGTGGAGCAAAGTTAATCAATTCTGAAAGGTCAAATAAAGAAAAGATTAAAAGAACAGGCAGCGGTTATATATTGGAAGTTAGGGTAGGGTTTTTTGTGAAATACAGAAAAATGTTGCTTTATCAATTATGTAATTACATAATTTATTATAATTGTTAACAAGTTTATTAAAAATAATATTTAACAAATGCCAAAAGTATCGCAGCTGAAACAGAATATCTTACTTCAGATGGCTGCTGCTAGTAGATAGAAAAATAGACATTTTTAAGTCAAAGCTTTAAAATTTGCTAAAAGATTATTGATTTTGACATATTTTCTGTGGGTTTCCTTCAGGAGAAATGGCTTTAAAAGATTAGTTCTGACATATTTCGGTGGTTTTGCCTTGGGGAAATATTTTTCACAGGTAATTATGTTCTCTGTGCTTCTTGGTTTTTTGTTCAAGGACATTGCTTAAATATTAGCAATCACACTCATCACACTAAAAGTTGGGGAATAAAAGCAGCTTAAAGTTGAGGTAATATTTCTTTGGTGCAGCTATGTACATTAAGTATTTCAGAATTTTACTGCTGAAAAATTACAATTACTATTTGTGGCATATAAAATCCTTAAGAGTTCTCTGTGCATTATCAATTGTTTATGTATTTAAACCTATCCACAATTATCTCTTCCTGTGAGGACAAATAATTGCTGAAAATATACATCAACTAAAAGTTGTTCTCAGGTTGAATCCAGGTGACACCTGCAAATTAATAACTGCAACACAATATTATACTGGTGTTCTTGATCAAAACTGATGGCTGGATTATGATTTTTTTTTTCTTTACAGATTGCCACTCGCAAGGCATATGGAATGGCACTGGCCAAGTTGGGTCGCTACAACGAACGTGTTGTGGTCCTTGATGGAGACACCAATAACCTCACCTGCTCTGAGATCTTCAAGAATGAACATCCAAACCGCTTTGTTGAGTGCTACATTGCTCAACAGAACATGGTACGATCCCCAAATGAATACATATAAAAATGTTCACTAAATCAGATTCCCTGTTATATTTTTTTGATACTTTCAGTGTTGTGTTCTTAATACGGGATTATCTGGTGGGATGTTTTACGAACACAGAAGAAATTGCACTTAACATGTCTTTTATTGTGGCTCCTAATCGGTTTTAGCCTTCCTTCTTATGCTGAATTCAACATATCCTAATCATCATGGTTAGAAAATACCTGTCTTTTTCTTCATTTAATTCTTTCATTAAACCGTAACATACAGACAATCAGACTGACTCTATGGCTCCAGCAGTCATCTCTAATGTAGGTCATGCGTGCATGCATGTGACGATAAACCGCCATGACAAGTGTATTCACAAGTAAAATATTAATCAGTACAGAGGACGGAACCATCTGGCTGAATACAGGAGAAACGTTAAAATGTAATAGGCAATGTGAGAATGATAATCTGATGTAATTTTATATACTTTAGGTAACAATAAAACAGTAAAAAAAAAATCCTGATACCATATGTTACTTTTGACAAAACATATTTATGGTGCTTACGATAAGAAGAAAGAACAAAGGAAATTATTCATAAAATGAGGTATGTCACTGATTCACCCCATATGGCAAAATAAGCTGCAGAGATTTTTGGAAAGCTACTCTCACTAACTCTAAACTGAACTGGTCTTTGGTTCAAAGAGACTTTTGGGGGAAGGTTTTTGTGAGAAATATTGAATTCTAAGGAATGTATTTTGTTTGGACAAGTTTGTTTGACCCAAGTCTGTCTCCCTTGACACAGGAATACTACACCTATATACATAATAAGAAGCCTTTTTTTTTTTTGCAGGTCAGTGTTGCCATGGGATGCGCTGCCCGCGAGAGGAACGTTGTATTTGCCAGCACCCTTGCCTCCTTTTTTACGCGTGCCTATGATCAAATTCGCATGGCAGTGATTTCAGAAAGCAACATCAACTTGTGTGGCTCCCACTGTGGTCTGTCTACTGGTTAGTAGATTGCTAATAATAATAAGCCATGCTTACCACCGTCAGATATCCCATCACAAAATCCACTTTTATACCTTCACACTGTGTCTGGCACTCACTGTAATAATAGTAAATTTAGGAAAAATAAAGAAACATTTCAATGACTCCCCAGTTATTATTTTTCTTCCACTCTTATGTTGTGACTTCCTTGTGGTTCCCCTCCTCCCCCCCACTGGTCTTTCAATCGTAACTCAATCCTACCCTCTTTCTCCTTTTGTGTCTGCACTGGAAGCTGTCAGCAGGGAACCAAGTATCCCTTTGTTAGTCCAGGTACCCTGAATCCAGAATGACCTTTTTTCTCCTGCATGCAACAACTCACCAAAAAACTAATTTACCTTGCTGTTAGATGCATTGTATAGATTATAATAATTTTGCCCTCTGACAGGAGAGGAAGGCCCCTCTCTGATGGCTCTGGAGGACATGGCTATGTTCAGGGCCCTGCCTACTGCTACAATCTTCTACCCCAGTGATGGTGTCACCACAGAAAAGGCTGTGGAACTGGCTGCAACCACAAAGGTAGGGATGGTTTCTCCGTAGGAGTACTAAAACCCTTGCATAAAGCAAAAATGTCCTTTATCATCATGTTTTTCTTGATTATTCTCTTTAATAAGGGCGTTTGCTACATTCGAACCAGCCGCCAAGACAATGCCATCATCTACAATAGCAATGAGGATTTTCATGTTGGACAGGCAAAGGTGAGTGACTATTATCCTATTAGCAAAATGAACTGCTCCATAGGTAAACATAAAAAGAGCATAAAAAACATAGCAACTTAAAATAGAAAATTAAATTGTCTTTGCCAGGTGGTGTTCCAAGGCAAAGAGGATCAAGTGACTGTGGTTGCAGCTGGAGTGATTGTGCATGAAGCCCTTGCAGCTGCTGAGCATCTCAAGAAAGGTACAAGACAATAAGAAATACAGGACTGAGCACAATTTAACCGAAAAGACAGACATCTGGACAACCTTAAAGTGCGCTTAAAATGTGAAAGTTGACCACATCAAGATGTCCCTTGATGTTTAAGATGGTTGTGGTCAAAAGGGCTAACAAAACTCTACTTTGAATATCTTTTCTTAGGCTAAATATTGATGGGAAATTTGAAAGTAGAATTTAAACTGATTTATTTTCCTGGGCTAAAAAAAAAAGGATTGGCCATAATTTAATAGCCACAAAAAAGATGTCCGTGGCCATCTTGTGTGTGAAACACAGCAGAAAAAACTACAGCATTACGTATAATCTTTAGTTTTCTCTACTAATTGTACTTGTCAAATAACTGATATGCTTACGGATTGTTTTGGTCCATTAAACTCGTCTTCCAGAGAGGATCTCTGTAAGAGTGATTGATCCCTTCACAATCAAACCACTGGACATTAAAACCATCATCGACCATGCACGCGTCACCAGGGGAAGGATCCTCACCGTCGAAGACCACTACTACGAAGGTAGGTTTCAGAAATCGTTACTCACGCCACACTGCTCCTGCATTTTAAATGAGCACCGCCAGCCTGGTAGCCTAAAGCGTCTTAGCACAATGTGGCTTCAGAGCTCTGCCATTGGTCCATGTGTTACTGTGTCGCGGTGGCACGTTTCTATTGGCTCAGTGACACACGCATGCTGTGCTGGCGTTGACCTATTGGCTGACGATGCTTTGCTGTGTGCGCCTATCGGAGGGAAGGTAGTGGAGTCGTATGTTTTGTAAATGTTAAAGAAAGAGAGGCAGAGCGCTGTCAGGTTTCCTTAACTGAGCATGTGCCTGTGGGGCAGATCATGACCTAGATAGCACAGTCTGCTTTGCACAGCTCTTCATAGGATAAAAGCACAGGGCTGTAGTGTGTACTGTATTTGATGAAGAATGTTTAGCAGCTTTTTTAATGTTCTACATCAGGTGAAATTGCTGATTCTAACGGTTTTCACTTGGCATAAAGTAATTTTATTTCTTACTGTAAGAGTGTGCAGAATTTTTTTCTCCAATGGACTAAACCGTTCTGTAACAGGTGGTCTGGGGGAGGCAGTATCCTCAGCAATGGTCAACGAGTCTGGGTTTACTCTGCACCGCTTGGCCGTGTCCCACGTTCCCAGAAGTGGCAAACCTCATGAGCTCCTGAAGATCTATGGGATAGACCGTGATGCCATCGCACAGGCCATCCGAAAGATGCTCAGCAGCTCTGCTAATGCCAAGTAATTTCCTCTGTGCCCCACCCACCTTTCTGACTAATCCCCTCCAGATGGCGATAGACAGTCATGTATGTTGTGGAAGCACAGAACCCATTTTTATCATTAAACCACTTAAAAAATGTACTGAAGTGTTGTGATTTTGTGCAGTTCACCTTTAAGTAGACGTCTGCTTTAACTTTCCTTTTGTGCGTTCATCCTAACACGCAGAGAAAAGTAACCTCTGCACACACATCTTCACTTTTAATCTCTACCTTCTTATGGACCAATCCGGAGAGAGGATTGGTTCCAGTTGTTGCCATTGGTTATTTTGCCTCTGATGGATTATCACTGTGTAAAACAAATTGTTGTTCTATTTTTAACACACTACTAGAGATGCACCAATCTGGGATTTGTTGTTTTTGTAAAGCTTTGACCGACCAAAACCAATTTTAGTTCCTTTCTGTTGAAGAAATATCAGCAGGTTTCTTGTCATTAGTTATGAAGAGCAACATCTCAGACAGAAATGTCTCTGTAAAGCAGTGTTTTTAATTTTACAGACAAAATGACGGGGAATTTAGATTTTAAGTTGTCTCTCATCTAATGTTAGCAATTAGCATGATTAGCATTAGCAATTGTAAACACCCATCTCTGCTTGTATTCCCAAGTGTAGATTCTTACCTGAATTCTGAGATTTTCAAAAGGCTGTCAATATTTCTCAGTTCCTCCTTTTCCATGACAGATAGAGGTTAAAACTTTAAAAAGCTAACGTTGTCTACTTCTGCTGTAATACATCCAGATTTCCGAGATATCTTAAAGTTTGTCAATCTGCCCCTTTCTTAATTCAGTTGCCAAGTCCCCAAAGCTGGACCGAGTTGAAATATGCAGATGACAATATTTCATTCACGAGAAGCTTGGGTAAAAACGAATGAAATGACAAGAAGCCAGCGAAGTCTAGTTGTCTTTTGTAAGCAGCAACAATGAGTGCAAGGCATTTATCACTGAAAAAAAAATCCATTGAAAAGTTTTTTTTTTTTTAACCTTGGGGGTGTCATTTTGCTTAATTTCAACAACCCTAACTGAAACAGAAAATAACTAGTCTTCCCTCAGTAACAGCCTCCGCACCAAAAACTGCTGTTGAAAGAGCAAATTGGTAGCACTCAGGTATGGTATGTTTGTTGATCCTAAGCAAATTAAACTTTGTTCATTCAGCTAGAAGGTCACAGGTCAGGGCCAACCAAGCTGAATTTTGATCACCAGATTATGTCTCGGTGCATCTCAGTTACACTTTCATGTGGTTTTCAGTGCTCTTTTATTTACTTTGTTTCACAAGACATAGTTGTGGGTTTCTCTAATGTTTTAATACTGGGTGAGGCCCAGTTTAATGTGTTTATTGTGTCAACGGTGTCAGAAAGATGGCATGTGGGTTCTTGTTTGTAGAAGGTAGTGGGGACAAAAAAAAAGGGAAAAAAACAAAAAAATGTGAGGAAATCATAAACCATTAAATAAGGATTCACTTCTTTATTCTTCCTTTTCAGCACCGTTTTTAATATTAATTTTTACAGCTGTTCAGAGTAACACACCTCAGGGTTTCAGGTCCATCCAGTGTATGACTAAGAAAAGGCTGTAGCTGCAACTTTAGTTACATCTGACTTGTGAACATGAGAAAAAACAAAACACCTTCTTGGTTACTTGAAATTTTGTATCTCCCATATATTATCATGTAATAAAGCCCTCTGCATTTGACTTTGAAAACTTGTGTTCTGTTCTGTTTATTCAGTGCCTGCATAACTTAAATAAATTCTAAATATAAAACAAAATATTTTATACAAAAGTAAATTACATCCTGGTATCATATATTAAAATTTCAATACTACATATTCCTGAGGAGCTTCTCATTACAAAAAAAGAGAACATAAAAATAAAGCAAAGTCCAATGCTATCATTCTTTCATGGCATCATTGATGACTTCCTGGCTTATCTCACTCTTCACAGTTTACCAGAACAAGTTTGTTCTTTGGCCTTTATGATTTCAAACCCGTTTTGTGTTTCCTGAGGTTGTAAACGTACGCTACCTCCAGGCTCCCTGCTGTTTCTGCTTCCTGTCCAAAAAAGCAAAAAGAAAACGTGTAATGTTTTACATCAGACCACAATTAACTCTCCAATGTATTGAGAAACACTGAACCTAAATTTTGATGAAGTAAAAGCTCCAAATTCTTAAGAACACAACTGTAAGCCGCTTTTCAAGCCTGCATACCCCAGAAAGCTGTATTTTCGTTTGGCACCTCTTAGAGCAAACATCATGATTCCACATCCATATGAAAGAGTGTAGACTAAAAAAAAGGAGAGTGTTTAAACACATGAAACAGCATATGCCCAAGGTATTAAGCATCCACCAAGTATGAGGTACCTACCGTGGTAAGAGTGAAGGTTCAAGTAGGCCACAAAAAAGGCAAGACCAAATCCCCAGCACACATCTGAAAAGAGGTGGAAGGTTAAATTAGCTTTTGTACTCCAAATGAATTAATAGTTTGCCATTACTTCTGCAGTACAGGTATTGTACAGTGCAGCCGTCTAGAGACATCTATGAAAAAGGCTTTTACAGTTCAACATAGAACATCAAGGATAATACGTTTAGGTGATATTGTACCTCTCGTGGGGGCAAAAAACAAGAGAACATGGCATCTGACTGTGAGAAAGGCTGGATAAGGATTCATTTTTGCCAAAAATGTACCTTGAGTGGGATTGTAAGGGTGACTCAAAGTGAGAGAACTGCAACAAAATATGTTACTGTATCTAAAGGTTCATTATTTTAAGACTTACACGTCTTTACCAGTAATGCCAATTAGTTTGGAAGGAGCTGTGGATTAGTAGGATTTTATTATAATGCAAAATCCTACCTCTTTTGTCATATGGAAGCCCTTTACAGTTTTTAGTATGGGCTGGCAGGTCTAAGAAGAAAAATGTTATTAGTGACATACTCAAGCAACATAATCATGCTTGTAAATCAACAAAGAAATGGGAACTGATAAATCAAAAAGATTAAGGAACGACAGCAGCCATATTTAAAGTTATAAAATGTCAGTGTATAATAAAATAAGAGTTAGCTTACCCAACGTTATACCTAAAATCTCAAATGCTATGGTGAAAAACACACCTAGAACTGACGGTATCAAAAGAGCTGGAAATGAAAAAGAAAGAAAAACTGAAGTGCCATGTCTACAGAAGTAGCTGGATAATAGAACATAAGTAATTACCTATTAACAACTTGGATACAGAACATACTTACAATGAAATGGCCTATAGAGTGCCATGGCACATCCCAGACCAAAGCAGACTGAGTAAAAATGGTAATATTTGTCTGAAAATAGTAAGAATAGTCAGAGTCAAAATATTCTTCAAATAAAAACACAATTTGATTCAGGAAACTGTATGCCACTACTAGATAGTTATTGTAATTACAAATTACTAAAGTATACGTACAGTGTTTGTAAAAGTTGTTAATAGGAGTTCCTTCATTTTCCTAAAAAGGTGAAACAAAAACATGATTTACTAATAATAATAAAAAAAAAACAATCACAGCGCTGCCGAAGACTGAGGGAGCTGAGTGTAAAGCAATAAAATACTAAAATTTAGATAAAGACACTGAAAATAGCTTAGCATTAACACAGGTTTAAGATCATGGCAAAAACCTTTGCGAACAGGTGTACATACCATGTAAGCTCAGCTGTAGCTGGGAGAGCTCTCCAAGCAGGTACAACAACAGCAATACAATCAACATTTATTTGACAACTTCCTGAAGCCGGTTCAACCACTCAGTCATGGGTTGGGACAAAAGGAAAGTCCCAACCCATCAGGTTGTTTTGCTTTCACATTTACTTCACAATTTTGATATTTTTAAATCAAGACTTTGGAGGGAAATCAAATAGTAAGTTTTTCATGTTTTAGTATAACAGAATACATTCTGTTGAAAAAAAAAACAAATTGCTTACTGTAGGTATAAGCCACAACCAGTCAACTTAGTCCACTTATAACTATTGCTATTATTAAGCCATGCACACAGGGTTTTACGCTCTGCTGTAGTTCCTGTATTTATTTATTTTTTTTAAGTCTAACTGTAGATTTATAAGCCTGAACATATCTCGCCATTAGAAAAATAACTCAGGTTCTGCATATGGCGGTCTTGAAAGGTCAAAGTTTTCTTTGTATTTCTCACCATATGGGGGCGCTCTGCAACATTCAAAGGCACACTTGTGCTGTCTTTCTACCTTTAAACCTCCCATTAAAATGTCTCTTAAAACTTAACTATGATTACGTTCAGAGGAATTAGTAAGGCAGCTCTGAGTTGGATGTAGATATTTTGTTTTCGACCTTTAAACTGTAGATGAAATTAACGCATTACCCGTTTCGTGGATATAGATGTAGTTTCATTGTAAAACCTCTAGATGGCAGCCTTGAATTAACTTATGTTGTCAGTACGTATCCTCTGGAAGTCACGCTATGCACTCTGGTAGTTGAAGTCAACGTCGCAGCTGTACCAGACCGTCAATGTGACATTAGCATTTCCTTCAAAACTACAATTCCCTCTACAGTCACGTAGATTTGAAAGCTGTGCGGAGAGCTTTTTCCAATCGATGATCTCAACTGAAGTTTCCTCTGGCTGCCTCATGAAGATACTGAGGAAAGTCATCGAGAATGACAAAACTATTTAATTTAAACGCATTTCGACGTCTGTGACTGGGGGAAAAAAGCAGAAGGAGCAAAACGCCATTCAAACCGCGACAATGCGGTTCAAACAAAGAGGACAGTGATTTGCGGCGTTCCGAGATTTTTTTTTTTTTCCTTGGGCTGCTCCCGTTAAGTCAGGGCTGGGTTCCGTCACGGTTTGAATCGGCGGTTCGCCAAGATGTCTATGGAGGAGCAGGACTATCCCGAGGCGGTGCTGGTGACCGAAGCTGGGCCGCAGTGGCTCCGAGTCGAGGTGGACCGTCTGACCCGCGAGTTGCGAGAGACAACTCACGAAAAGATCCAGGCGGCGGAATACGGGCTGGCCGTCCTGGAGGAGAAGCAGCAGCTCAAGCAGCGATTCGATGAGATGGAGGCGGAATACGAGACGGTCCGACAGGAGCTGGATCAGCTGAAGGAGGTAAGCTGAGGTCTAAGCCACGCAGACGGATATGTTTAAGTGCTGGCAGGCTGTCGGAGGTAACCCTAACTGTGACCGGGAGGCACGTTAACCTGGTTAATATCGCACATAGTGGTTTAAATGTTCTGCGCATGTGTTAATAATCATGGTTATTAGCAGGTCAGCTGGGTTAGGATCCGCTAAACGGTGTTTTTCTTATGCTATAAAACTAGGCAAAGAAGCAACATCTTGGTCTCTTGCCCACACTTGCCCTTGGTATGTAAAAACCAAAGCCCTCTAGTCAAATAAATCTCAGTAACTTAAGTATCAGTAACTTATTGTATTTGCAAAGTTAGTTTGTTGTTTTGTTGTGGGGTCGAGTTCTGAAGAACAGTCTGATGGTGGTTGAAAATACAAACATGCTGCAGACATTTCCTTTTGAGCACTGACAAGTAAATCTTTTGGTGAGATAATATCTCCTAATCAGGTTTTATCCACTTCCCCTTTCTTCTTTTTTTTCAAAGGGTTGTTTAGATGAACATTTCCAGCTCATAACTACAGAAAACTTCAATGTTTTTCCTGCATGCACAACTCACTTCAGGGTTAAAATACAATCACAGCAAACAGCAGCTGCAGATACTAAAGTAGGTATCACGATAGCAAAATTTTCTTTAACTAGAAAAAATATAATGATATAGGACAGCTGGAAGTGTTTGAAAGCTGAAATTCTGTGCAAAATATATCCCTCAATTTACACTGAAACCTGTGACTTAAAATCACTAAAAATAATTCTGGATTACATTCACTAAGCTAATCTTTAGTAAACGTTCTGCTTTGACAATGAAACTAGAATAAAATTCAGATTATTGAGTTTTAAAAGTTTTGATCGCTTAAAAATAGAAGCATTTATTAGAAGCAAAGACGATTTCAACCTGCATACAAATTCAATTTAAGCTTGAATGTTACATTCTGACAATGAGATACGTTACATTTTGTTTCTTAAGAAATCCATCAGTAATTTTCATAGCATAAGTAATTATTTATATTTCCTATGGCATTTACAACTTATTATTGTTGAAATGATAACAGTAATTGTTGTTACTGTTATCATTATTGTTATTTTACAGGTTTAAATGTTCTTAAAATATAAGTTATGTTTATGAGTTAAATTAAATACAAACAGTACATGCCTTGAATTCACAGCCTACAGGAAAGTGGTGTGATAGATAAGGCTGCACAATATTTTCATTATTATCTAAATATCACTGCACATAATGAATTGCCTGGACAACCACCAGTGTTTGCTAATTATTTGAGTAATGTTCATTGAGGCTCTCTA